TTCTGATCTTCTCAAAATTCCCTCTAGTGCTCTCAGAGAACCAGTATATATATATATATATATATATATATATATATATATATATATATATATATACATATATATATACATATATATATATATGCAGTAATTCTTTATATATATTTCATATATATATGTATATATGCAGTAATTCTTTGGCAAAGCAATGCAAGGCTTGAAGTTTTCAGGGTTACAGAAAGAGGTGATAAGGATCCACACATAAATCAATAATTGTCAGCTTCCAATTGTAACCCCCAAAGTGGGAGTGACTAAAGGGGAGTTCTCTGGTAGGGTCACCTAAAGCCTAAGACCAATTAGAGAATTTATGTGCCCAAACTATAGTCTAGAAATGGCTAGGTAAAATGTTAGGGGTCAGTAAGTCACAAGAAAGTAAACTGTCTTTGGTGCCGCTTTTCCCGCTCATCCCAGCTGCAGCTGCTTTCTGATAGGGAGGGGGACATATGCTAGGTGGCTAAGCAACCTATGTCAGAGCAAGTAGTATTTGGATAGTAAAAGCACTTTTGCTCAGAGTAATTGCTAAGGAGAAAATCTAGGAATAGCACCTGGCTGAGGAGGAATTAAGACTTCATTTGCACAAGAAGGAAGCTTGGCACCTATCACCTGCCTGGCTTTGTAGGCAATTTCCTTGGGTCAGTGGGAAGTAACTGCCTTAATTAGTAACTAGCAAATGGCTAAACCCTCATTCCAGGAATGTGAGCAGTAAATCTCTTAAATTAGGGTGTTGTGTAAATAACCCAGGGTGAAGGTAAGGGATTGAAGATTTAATTGTTAGTGATTCTTTTCTCTATCTGTGAGTGAGATGAACTAATGTTTACCTATGTGCAGTTTTGTCATTGGAAAAAGGTATCTTTGCTGAAATACTTCTGTCTGGAAAATGGCCCTGGCCAGATATATGTTAATGAAAAACAAACACAGCTGGGGGCAGTTATCTAATTACCCCAAATGTATAGGGAAAGTTGTGCCCAAGATCAAGATGTGTGGCGATATTGTGTTCTCCAAAACATTGGGCATCCTAATAAACTTATCTGGGGTCAGAGAACAGAACAGCCACTAGATATAGAGGCCAGAAAATGGTGGTACACAAGCCTTTAATCCTATCACTTGGGAGGCAGAGATCCATGCAAGTCTCTGTGAGTTTAAAGCCACACTGGAAACAGCCAGGCATGGTGACACACGCCTTTAATCCCAGGAAGTGAGCCTTTAATTCCAGGAAGTGATGGCAGAAAGCAGAAAGGTATAGAAGGCATGAGGACCAGGAACTAAAGCTGGTTAAGCTTTTAGGTTTTTGAGCAGCAGTTCAGCTGAGATGCATTCTGGATGAGGACTCAGAGGCTTCCAGTCTGAGGAAACAGAATCAGCTGAGGAATTGGCGAGGTGAGGTGGCTGTGGTTTGTTCTGCTTGTCTAATCTTCCAGCATTCAGCACAATATCTGGCTTCAGGTTTGTTTTTATTAATAAGACCTCAAAGATTCCTGCTACAGAGATGCAATGGTGAGATTACACATACACGTAACTGAAAGGACCGAGCAGGCACCATAACAGGCTGCTCAGTCTTGTCTCAGAGATCAGGCCTCAGTTTCAGTCTCTGGGAGGGCCGTGAACAAAAGACATAGTCCTTGCAGTAGCTCCCTTTCTGCACATACTCTGACTGCTAAAAGTTCAGCCAGATGTTTACTGTCTGGGGCCCCTTACCAACTTAGAGATATGTGCATGAGTCAAGGACAGAGCCTAGACCACTGAGCCAGCCCCCATGGCAACTCAAGGACAAAGTCTGGGACTTGTGCTGGACTGCCCCCAAAATGATAATTGTAACCCCCAAACAGTAAATTCAAAGGTTACATACCCTCACCCAATTAAAAGAGAACAGAGATAAAAGTAAACCAATCTGAGTTGCACCCGTGCAAACCCCACCCCTAACCCCCCTAAAGGGCTTGTGGTTTTTGCCTTTAAAAAGCTAGCCACACAAAGAAAGAGCAACTCCTCCTTGCCTCACTCTATTGACTGTAGGAATGAGTTCCCTGTCTAGACTTGTATCTACAGAGTAAACCTTGCTGTTGCATTCTGGACATCCAAGGTCTTCGGTGGTCTCTTTGGGGGGTCACAATCTGGGCATAACAGTAACATGGAAATGCACGGTAAATGGGGAGAATCATAGCTGTTATTGCACAAGAAGTTTACAAGAAATAGCCAGTTCATTCAAAAGGCAGTAATTCCATAATGCCTTGTGTGATGGTTTCCTCTAACAGAACCCTTAGTTCCGATAGTTTGACCTTCTGAACTCCAGTTGTCATTGCTGTATACTCTCATGGATTTTTTGCTATCAGCATTTCTCAATACCAGGAAAGGCTACATTCATTCTTCTTATTGTTATTATTATTTTATTTATTTATTTATTTATTTTGGTTTTTCAAGACGGGGTTTCTCTGTAGCTTTGGAGCCTATCCTGGACTAGCTCTGTAAACCAGGCTGGCTGCTGCGGGCCGCAGGAATATATCATAAGAACTCAGCTGGTTATG